AAGTGGCTTTTGATTTCATGATAAATTCGGGTTTCTTCATTTTTGGCGAATTACTTGTCTAATTCGATTGGAATCGAGCCAATGAGAAGTTGGTTTTGATTTCATGATAAATTCGAGTTTGTTCGATTTTGGCGAATTGCTAGTCTAATTCGATTAGAATCTAGCCAATGAAAAGTGGATTTTGATTTCTTGATAACTTCGGGTTTGTTCGTTTTCGGGAATTACGAGTCTAATTCAATTGGAATCGAGACAATGAAAAGTGGTTTTTGATTTCATGATAACTTCGGGTTTGTTCGTTTTCGGGAATTACGAGTCTAATTCAATTGGAATCGAGACAATGAAAAGTGGTTTTTGATTTCATGATAACTTCGGCTTTGTTCCTTTTTGGCAAACTGCTAGTCTAATTCATTGAAATCGAGCAAATGAAAAGTGGTTTTTGATTTCATGATAACTTCAGGTTTGTTCATTTTTAGCGAGTAGTGAGTCTAATTCGATAGGAATCGAGCCAATGAAAAGAGGTTTTTGATTTCTTGATAACTTCGGGTTTGTTCGTTTTTGGCGAATTGAGAGTCTAATTCGATTGGAATCGAGCCAATTAAAAGTGGCTTTTGATTACATGATAACTTCGGGTTTGTTCATTTTTGGCGAATTTCTAGTCTAATTCGATTGGAATCGAGCTAATTTTCATTTCATGATAACTACGGGTTTGTTCATTTTTGGCGAATTTCTAGTCTAATTCGAATGGAACGGAGACATTGAAAAGTGGCTTTTGATTACATGATCACTTCCGATTTTTTCATTTTTTACGAATTCCCTATCTAATTCGATTGGAATTGAGCTAATGAAAAGCTGTTTTTGATTTCATGATAGCCTCGGGTGTGTTCATTTTTGGCAAATTGCTAGTCTAATTCGATTGGAATTGAGCCATTGAAAAGTGGCTTTTGATTTCATGACAACTTCGGGTTTTGTTCGTTTTTGGTGAATTCCTAGTCTGATTCGATTTGAATCGAGCAAATGAAAAGTAGCATTTGATTTCATGACAACTTTGGGTTTTTTCGTTATTGATGAATTGCTAGTCTAATTCGAATAGAATCGAGCCAATGAAAAGTGGTTTTTTATTTCATGACCACTTCGGGTTTGTTCATTTTTGTCGAATTGCTAATCTAATTCGATTGGAATCGAGCCAATGAAAAGTGGCTTTTCATTTCATGATAACTTCGGGTTGTTCGTTTTTGGCGAATTGCTAGTCTAATTCGATTGGAATCGAGCCAATGAAAAGTGGCTTTTGATTTCACGACAACTTCGAGTTTTTTCATTTTTCGCTAATTGCTAGTCTAATTCGATTCAAATTGAACTGATGAAAAGTGGTTTTTTATTTCATGACTATTTCGGGTTTGTTCATTTTTGTCGAATTGCTAATCTAATTCGATTGGAATCGAGCCAATGAAAAGTGGCTTTTGATTTCATGATAAATTCGAGTTTATTCGATTTTGACGAATCGCTAATCTAATTCGATTGGAATCTAGCCAATGAAAAGTGGATTTTGATTTCTTGATAATTTCGGGTTTGTTCGTTTTCGGGAATTACGAGTCTAATTCAATTGGAATCGAGACAATGAAAAGTGGTTTTTGATTTCATGATAACTTCGGCTTTGTTCCTTTTTGGCAAACTGCTAGTCTAATTCATTGAAATCGAGCAAATGAAAAGTGGTTTTTGATTTCATGATAACTTCAGGTTTGTTCGTTTTTAGTGAGTTGTGCGTCTAATTCGATAGGAATCGAGCCAATGAAAAGAGGTTTTTGATTTCTTGATAACTTCGGGTTTGTTCGTTTTTGGCGAATTGAGAGTCTAATTCGATTGGAATCGAGCCAATTAAAAGTGGCTTTTGATTACATGATAACTTCGGGTTTGTTCATTTTTGGCAAATTTCTAGTCTAATTCAATTGGAATCGAGCTAATTTTCATTTCATGATAACTTCGGGTTTGTTCATTTTTGGTGAATTGCTAGTCTAATTCGAATGGAACGGAGACATTGAAAAGTGGCTTTTGATTACATGATCACTTCCGATTTTTTCATTTTTTACGAATTCCCTATCTAATTCGATTGGAATCGAGCTAATGAAAAGCTGTTTTTGATTTCATGATAGCCTCGGGTGTGTTCGTTTTTGGCAAATTGCTAGTCTAATTCGATTGGAATTGAGCCATTGAAAAGTGGCTTTTGATTTCATGACAATTTCGGGTTTTGTTCATTTTTGGTGAATTCCTAGTCTGATTCGATTTGAATCGAGCAAATGAAAAGTAGCATTTGATTTCATGATAACTTTGGGTTTTTTCGTTATTGATGAATTGCTAGTCTAATTCGAATGGAATCGAGCCAATGAAAAGTGGTTTTTTATTTCATGACCACTTCGGGTTTGTTCATTTTTGTCGAATTGCTAATCTAATTCGATTGGAATTGAGCCAATGAAAAGTGGCTTTTGATTTCATGATAACTTCGGGTTTGTTCATTTTTGGCGAATTGCTAGTCTAATTCGATTGGAATCGAGCCAATGAAAAGTGGCTTTTGATTTCACGACAACTTCGAGTTTTTTCATTTTTCGCTAATTGCTAGTCTAATTCGATTCGAATTGAACCAATGAAAAGTGGTTTTTTATTTCATGACTACTTCGGGTTTGTTCATTTTTGTCGAATTGCTAATCTAATTCGATTGGAATCGAGCCAATGAAAAGTGGCTTTTGATTTCATGATAACTTCGGGTTTGTTCATTTTTGTCGAATTGCTAATCTAATTCGATTGGAATCGAGCCAATGAAAAGTGGCTTTTGATTTCATGATAACTTCGGGTTTGTTTGTTTATGGCGAATTGCTAGTCTAATTCGATTGGAATCGAGCCAATGAAAAGCGGTTTTTGATTCCATGAACACTTCGAGTATGTTCGTTTATGGCGAATTGCTAGTCAAATTCGATTGGAATCGAGCCAATGAAAAGTGGCTTATGATTTCATGATAACTTCGAGTTTTTTCATCTTTCGCGAATTGCTAGTCTAATTCGATTCGAATCGAACCAATGAAAAGTCGCTTTTGATTTCATGATAACTTTAGGGTTGTTCATTTTTGGTGAATTCCTAGTCTAGTTCGATTGGAATCGAGCCAATGAAAAGTGGTTTTTGATTTCATTATAACTTAGGGTTTGTTCATTTTCTGTGACTTGCTAGTCTAATTCTGTAACATCCCGAAAATTTGAGCATAAAAACATATCTGTTTTATATGTTATATTTCAAAAGTTGAGGGACTAAGATGCAATATATTTTAAATTGTTATATTTTGAGTCAAATAATTAAATTTTGGAAGAGTGAGAGTAAGTATATCAATATTGTACTCGTTTGATAGCTTGTAATTAATTATGCATTTTAGGCTCGAGAAAAAAATTAATTTGAATAAGTTATGGCCAAGATGTTATAGTTCTAAAGTTTTAAGCTTTGGTGTTAATGAAAATGGTAAGTAATATTATTTTAAATAAGATGTGTAGCCACGTGTGCTTTTGATTAGGGTTAGTCTTCTTTGGTACAATAGATTACGTTAATTGAAGCCATGGTGGAGTTTTAAAACCTTAGTTATAATTAATCTAATTCTAGTGTTTAAATCCTAATGTTGTTTTACTTGGCCAAATCCAATTTTATGTTTAGAATAAATTAAGTTAAAGAGATCAAAGATTAAGGGATTAATTCACTTGGCAAAATTGGACGTGACTTCAATGCTGCAATCATGATTCCTTATTAGTTAGTTAAATTAGGATTTGGAGTTAACCATAATGAAACAAGAATTTATGTTACTGTAATCAAATTTCATTAAAGCTGTCCGCATTTTGCTCTCAGTTTGACAAAAGAGAATAAACACTACTTTCATGGAAATTAGATACAAGTCTTATAAGTTATTTATTAAATTGTTTGTTTGTACTAAAATAAATTAAGCCTTATATCCAATGCAATTAGAGCCCAACTTATCTTAATGTCTGCATGTATGGATAATGATAACTTAAGTTGGAATAAATGAATTCAAAGAAACTTATTTAATATATATTTTCAAATAATGTCCCTTTAAAGATAATTAGCAAAATAATACAATATTTTATAATCATGATTATCTTTAAGGATTTAGTCATACCCAAATTCTGTTTTTCCATTTGAAATACAGTGTAACAGAATCGATTTCTGTGAACATGTGATTAACTAGAGAGACCGTATCTTTCAAGATAATTGGCAAATCTTATAAAATATTTTATTTGAAAATGATTGAATCCAATTCTGTTTTCCATTTGACAATGATTATAACAAGATTAGTGTTCTCCTACGTGTACACGTGTTGAACACGTGTTGTATATAACTTGGTTTTCCCCTATGTTTACACGTGTTGTGTATAAAATTATATATAATGTAATTTATCTCTATTTTTAGTCATTATCCTTATTTTTGAATTATAAGACCCATTTGAATTTTAAACAATATAATAGGTAGATTCCATTTATTATCTACAAGTTACAACTAAAATTATACACATCGTAATTATATAAAATCTGATCACATAATGACTATTCTTGATTTTTAATTATCCTTCATATAATTTGGATAAATTTCAATCTTATAGAGGATAATGACTAACACAGTTCTAACCCTTATCAACTACGTTATATTTGCCTATAAATACTAATGCCATACACATATTTTTGTCATGAACCCCATTTCCTTAGTTTTTGGTTTCATTCTTTAAGTTCAGCAGAAACCCCCTATTATATTCATATTCTATCAAAATCATAATTCTCTTTGCCTCTTTAATCACATCTATTGCATGCACATACACGGCAACAATTGCGTTGACAGAAAATAAACATTTGGAGCGTGATTCTTGGATCTTGTTTTCAAAATTTGTAGATTAACAAGGTAGGATACCATGTGCAAGTGATTCATCCTTGCAATATTATAATTTTTTTTATGTGAGTTATTTCATGAAATGCTAATTGACCTGCGGGTCCCTATGAAATGAAATGTGAGATTGCCTTCGGGTCTTCTCAAATGTACTAGAGCTTTCGATTGATCACCGATTGCTTTTGATGAAATGATGGTATGGAATGTTATAGATTCAAGTTTTAAAAGTTATCATATTGTCTTGGACGCACGTATCCTACTGAGTATAAATTACTCACTCCTTCCATTTTAACTTTTCAGGTCAGATTGGTCAACGTGGATGGTGGCTGAGTGGTGCGCAGGTTGCCAAGTAAAAGAAATTTTTAGGAATCCATAATAAATTTGTTAGGGCATTTTATGTTTCTCTTCAATTCCATTCATGACGCTATGTTTATTTGATTCAGTATTTGAGTTTCAATAAATTAAGGTATTAAATTTTAAATTTTATTTCCGCTTGATGTATGATTATGGAATGATATCGGTAACTCCTCAAATTTAAGTCAATAATATTTGGGGCATTACAAATTCGATTGGAATCGAGCCAATGAAAAGTGGCTTTTGATTTCATCATAACTTTGGGTTTGTTCATTTTTAACGAATTACAAGTCTAATTCGAATGGAATCGAGCCAATGAAAAGTGATTTTTGATTGAATGATAACTTGGGGTTTCTTCATTTTCGGTGAATTGCTAGTCTAATTGGTTTGGAATCGAGCCAATGAAAAGTGGTCTATGATTTCATGATAACTTCGGGTTCGTTCATTTTTTGCGAATTGCTAATCTAATTCGTTTGGAATCGAGCCAATGAAAAGTAGTTTTTGATTTTACGATAACTTCGAGTTCGTTCTTTTTTAGCGAATTGCTAGTCTAATTCGATTGGAATAGAGCCAATGAAAAGAGGTTTTTGATTTTTATGATAACTTCGGGTTTGTTCATTTTTAGCAAATTGCTTGTCTGGCTCGATTGGAATCAAACCAGTGAAAAGTGGTTTTTTGATTTCTTGATAACTTTGGGTTTGTTCATTTTCGGTGACTTGCAAGACTAATTCATTTGGAATCGAGGCAATGACATGTGGCTTATGATTTCGTGATAACTTCGGATTTGTTCATTTTTGGCGCATTGCAAGTCTAATTCAATTTGAATCGAGACAATGAATAGTGGTTTTTGATTTCATCATAACTTCGATTTGTTCATTTTTTGCGAAATGCAAGTCTGATTCGATTGGAATCGAGCCAATGATAAGTGGTTTTTGATTTCATAATAACTTCGGGTTTGTTCATTTTCGGCGACTTGCTAGTCTAATTCGTTTGGAATCAAGCCAATGAAAAGTGGTTTATGTTTTCATGATAGCTTCGGGTTTGTTCATTTTTTGCGAATAGCTAGTCTAATTCGATTGGAATCAAGCAAATGAAAAGTGATTTTTGATTTCATGATAACTTCGGGTTTGTTTTTTGGTGAATTGCTAGTCTAATTCGATTGGAATCGAGCCAATGAAAAGTGGCTTTTGATTCCATGATAACTTCAAATTTGTTTATTTTTGGCTAATTTCAAGTCTAATTCGATTGGAATTGAGCCAATTTTGATTTCATGATAATTTAGGGTTTGTTCGTTTTTGGCGAATTACCAGTCAAATTCGATTGGAATCGAGCCAATGAAAAGTGGCTTTTGATTACATGATAACTTCAGGTTTTTTCATTTTTAACGATTTGCAAGTCTAATTCGAATGGAATCGAGCTAATGAAAAGTGGTTTTTGATTTAATGATAACTTCGGGTTTGTTCCTCTTTGGCGAATTGCTAGTCCAATTCTATTGGAATCGAGCCAATGAAAAGAGGATTTTGATTACTTGATAACTTCGAGTTTGTTCATTTTTGGCGAATTACTAGTCAAATTCGATTGGAATCGAGCCAATGAAAAGAAGCTTTTGATTACAAGTCAGCTTCTGGTTTGTTCATTTTTCGAGAATTGGTAGTCTTATTCGATTGTAATCGAGCCAGTGAAAAGTGGCTTTTGATTTCATGATAACTTCGAGTTTGTTAATTATTGGCGAACTGCTAGTCTAATTTGATTGGATTCGAGCAAATGAAAAGTTGTTTTTGATTTCATGATAACTTCGGGTTTGCTTATTTTTGGCGAATTGCTAGTCTAATTAGATTGGAATTGAGCCAATGAAAAGTGGTTTTTGATTTCATGATAACTTCAAATTTGTTCCTTTTTGGCTAATTTCAAGTCTATTTCGATTGGAATCGAGACAATTTTGATTTCATGATAACTTCGAGTTTGTTCATTTTTGGCAAATTGCTAGTCTGATTCGATTGGAATCGAGCCAATGAAAAGTGGCTTTTGATTGCATGATCGCTTCAGGTTTTTTCATTTTTGGCGAATTGCTAGTCTTAATTCGATTGGAATCGAGCCAAAGAAAAGTGGTTATTGATTTCATGATAACTTCGGGTTTGTTTATTTTTGGCGAATTGCTAGTGTAATTCGATTGGAATCGAGCCAATGAAAAGTGGTTTTTGATTGAATGATAACTTGGGGTTTCTTCATTTTCGATGAATTGCTAGTCTAATTGGTTTGGAATCGAGCCAATGAAAAGTGGTCTATGATTTCATGATAACTTCGGGTTCGTTCATTTTTGGCGAATTGCTAGTCTAATTCATTTCGAATCGAGCCAGTGAAAAGTGGTTTTTGATTTCATGATAACTTCGGGTTTGTTCATTTTTAACGAATTGTTATTCTAGTTCGATTGGAATCGAGCAAGTGAAAATTGGTTTTTGATTTCTTTATAACTTCGGGTTTGTTCGTTTTCGGTGACTTGCAAGACTAATTCGTTTGGAATCAAGGCAATGACAAGTGGCCTATGATTTCATGATAATTTTGGGTTTGTTCATTTTTGGCGAATCGCTAGTTTAATTCGATTGGTATCGAGCCAATGAATAGTGGTTTTTGATTTCATCATAACTTTGGTTTGTTCGTTTTTTGCGAAATGCAAGTCTAAATCGATTGGAATCGAGCCAATGAAAAGTGGTTTTTGATTTCACAATAACTTCAGATTTGTTCATTTTCGACAACTTGCTAGTCTAATTCATTTGCAATCAAGCCAATGAAAAGTGGTTTATGATTTCATGATAGCTTCAGGTTTGTTCGTTTTTTGCGAATTGCTAGTCTAATTCGATTGGAATCGAGCCAATGAAAACTGGTTTTTGATTTCATGATAACTTCGGGTTTGTTTGTTTCAGCGAATTGCTTGTCTAATTCGATAGGAATCGAGCCAACGAAAAGTGGTTTTTGATTCCATGATAACTTCAAATTTGTTCGTTTTTGACGAATTACAAGTCAAATTCAATGGAGCCAATGAAAGGTGGCTTTTGATTACATGATCAATTCAGGTTTGTTTGTTTTTAACGAATTGCAAGTCTCATTCGAATGGAATCGAGCCAATGAAAAGTGGTTTTTGATTTCATGATAACTTCGGGTTTGTTCCTTTTTGGCGAATTGCTAGTCTAATTCGATTGGAATCGAGCCAATGAAAAGTGCATTTTGATCACTTGATAACTTCGGGTTTGTTCGTTTTGGCGAATTTCTAGTCTAATTCGATTAGAATCGAGCCAATGAAAAGTGGTTCTTGATTACATGACAACTTTGGGTTCGTTTGGTTTTGGTTAATAGCTAATTTAATTAGGTTCTAATCGAGCAATGAAATGTGGATTTTGATTACTTGATAACTTTGGGTTTGTTTATTTTTGACAAATTGCTAGTATAATTCGATTGGAATCGAGCCAATGAAAAGTGCTTTTTGATTTCTTGATAACTTCGGGTTTGTTCGTTTTCGACGAATTGCTAGTCTAATTTGATTGGAATCAAGCTAAGGAAAAATGGCTTTTGATTTCATGATAACTTCGAGTTTCTTCATTTTTGGCGAATTGCTAGTCTAATTCGAATGGAATCGGGCCAATGAGAAGTAGGTTTTGATTTCATGATAAATTCGGGTTTTTTCATTTTTGGCGAAATGCTAGTCTAATTCGATTGGAATCGAGCTAATGAAAAGTGGATTTTGATTACTTGATAACTTCGGATTTGTTCATTTTTGGGAATTGCGAGTCTAATTCAATTGGAATCAAGCCAATGAAAAGTGGTTTTTGATTTCATGATAACTTCGACTTTGTTCCTTTTTGGCAAATTGCTAGTCTAATTCATTGAAATCGAGCAAATGAAAAGTGGTTTTTGATTTCATGATAACTTCGGGTTTGTTCGTTTTTGGCGAGTTGTGAGTCTAATTCGATAGGAATCGAGCCAATGAAAAGAGGTTTTTGATTTCTTGATCACTTCGGCTTTGTTCGTTTCTGGCGAATTGCGAGTCTAATTCAATTGGAATCGAGCTAATTAAAAGTGACTTTTGATTACATGATAACTTCGGGTTTGTTCATTTTTGGTTAGTTGCTAGTCCAATTCAATTGGAATCGAGCAAATGAAAATTGGCTTTTGATTTCATGATAACTTCGAGTTTGTTTGTTTTTGGCGAATTGGTAGTCTAATTTGATTGGAACGAGCAAATGAAAAGTGGTTTTGGATTTCATGACAACTTCGGGTTTGTTTGTTTTTGACGAATTGCTAGTCTAATTCGATTGGAATCGAGCCAATGAAAACTGGTTTTTGATTTGATGATAACTTCAAATTTGTTTGTTTTTGGCAAATGTCTAGTCTAATTCGATTGGAATCGAGCCAATTTTGATTTCATGATAACTTCGGGTTTGTTCGTCTTTGGCGAGTTGCTAGTCTAATTTGATTGGAATCGAACCAATGGAAAGTGTCTTTTGATTACATGATCACTTCAGGTTTTTTTGGTTTCGGCGAATTCCTAGTCTAATTAGATTGGAATCGAGCCAATGAAAAGTTATTTTTGATTTCATGATAACTTCGGATAAGATATTCCCTTCATTCTTCCTCTATGTTGTTTACGGAATCTAGTTCTTTTGGGGTTATAGTTGATGGTTGTTTCACAATTCCATCTCTACTACAGAACCGGACGTGAGAGTTTCTTCTCATCCAGCTCCTCACGAATAAAAGGATTAAAAACATTTAATTGAAATGATTAAATTTGTTCGATTTTGGCGAATTGCTAGTCTAATTCGATTAGAATCGAGCCAATGAAAAGTGCTTTTTGATTTCTTGATAACTTCGTGTTTGTCCATTTTTGGTGAAACGCTTGTCTAATTCGATTGGAATCGAGCCAATGAAAAGTGGTTTTTAATTTCATGATAACTTCGGGTTTGTTCATTTTCGACAAATTGCTAGTCTAAATCGATTGGAATCGAGCCAAGGAAAGTGGCTTTTGATTTCTTGATAACTTCGGGTTTCTTTATCTTTGGCGAATTGCTAGTCTAATTCGATTGGAATCGAGCTAATGAGAAGTAGGTTTTGATTTCTTGATAACTTCGGGTTTGTCCATT